AAGAGCGTTCTGCTGATCCTGGAAGGCGAGGATCAAAGCAAATATGTCAAAGAATTTATTCCGTGCTATCCTAGAAAATAATAAGTGCAGATTCCATTTCAATAAATCCTATGCAGTAAATACCTCCAGCAATTCTGTTTTCACGGAGACACTCCCAAACATGAATATGGCATTCCAGTGTTCCAGTTCTCTCTCTTTCAATCTAAAAACTTGCATTAAGTGATACAACAAACTTCATCAGAAATAGCATAGCCTCTTCAGCAGTAGGAGATAGTATAGTGAAGAAACGAAACTATTTTAAATGCGCATTTTTGTGGAATAGCTGGGATACACATAAAGTAAATAGCAATGGAACAAATTCACTAAAAAAGCTATAGAGAAAACCATGTAGGCATGTATGACAGGGAAGGAACCCCTTTGCATAAAAGCTGCATTCCTAAAAAGGATAGTTACTTAAAAATAAATCACAAGATTTCACTAAGTGCCCTTTGGCAGACTATTGAAAAGCAGTCTCCATTGGGTAATCAGAAAAACTGTTTCTCCTAGATTAAACAGCCAGCCTCTTCATTTTAATATATCTCTCTTTTCCCAGGAAAATCAGGAGTACTGAGTAGATTTAATAAATAGTAGGCCCCAGAGAAGTAACAATGCTATAAACAAATACACTAAACTATTCTAGGGATGACTTACATTTTAGATCAAACTCTTCCATCCAAGAACATCCATCACTCTGATCTCCCTGAAGAAAAAATACAGCCTTTTTTTTCTACAATTACTGAAATTTTAAATAAAAATTTACTGCATATTTAGTCACAAGACACAAGACCTAGCAGTGTGTACACCAGTAGTGAAAACTTTACAACACCAAAGTTTCTTTAACCTCAGATGACACAAACAGTTAATGTTTGCTATTGACAGTTATTGACAGTTATTGCACAACTATAATCTGTGCTATTTAGGTCATATTAGAGTTTGCTGAAGTCCAACAATAAATAAAGGCATTGAAGACCAGAAAAATGGAGAAAAATTCAAAAGCAGTATAATATTACTTCACATGTAAAACCCTTTTATTCAAAAGTATTGTACACACTGGTGTGCAGAAATGGAAAATCACTGAGTTCTATAAAAAGCATTTCCTCCACTTACATAATAATCAAAATTACTCAAAAGGTCATAGATGTTACAAACATAGTCAGATTTTTTTTACTCAGACACATTTTAAAGTTCACTGGGAAAGTTTCACAAAGGGAAGTCGATAATTTAAAATACAATATAAGCCAACTAAATCACAATAATAGATGAAAACTTACACAATCTTCTTAGTAAGTATCTCATTTCTATTTGCAAGCTAATAAAAGATAATTACAAATGAAAATAAAACATATATTAAATTGTTCAGCAATTTGGTCAAATATTTGGCCAAAGAATGCTTACGTTACCTTCAATGAATGAAAATTATTCCACAAATGCTTGGAGATGGTTATGTGAAAGCTGTTAAACAACTAAATACTTTGCCTACTTGCAGCTATGGAACAAGGAACTTTTACACCATAGCAAATTTTTACATTTGGCTTAGTATCCCCAAAGAGTCATTTGGAGATTGATATAGGCAATTGTCACAGCACAATGAAAGCTCTCACTATATTTTCCTCTGAGATGGAAACTGAGGCAACAATTCTAGTAAATGACAGCAGTAAGTGGCTCACTGAGAGCCACTCTTGAAAGCTACACATTCCCACATAAAAAACAGCCACCTAATTGCATTAGTCTGGAGTAGCCTACAGATGGATAAACGATAGGAAATAACTGACTACTTGAAGTATTATTAATACAATCACACCGTATTCTGTATAAAAGCAATTTAGGACACAATGTTCTCAAAGAATATAATTAGGAAGACAAAATAAAACCATCTAAATGGCAAACTGTATCTTATGAAATTATTTTTTAAATCCTTTCTGCTGCATCATCAAGATAAAACAATACTACTGCCTCTACATTTTTTCTCAGTTACAATCCCTTTAACCTCATCTAAAATGAATTTGTTTCCATTACCACAATTTCTTGAATTGTTTTTATTCGGGCTTTTTTTTTTTGCTTCTAACTTTGGCTTCAAACATTTTGTTCAGTGTGACTACGCTTTTGGCCATGAAAGACATTTACATTCCTGGGAGATATAAATATACTATACACGTAGATAAATACGAAAACTGAAAAAACCCACCCACCCACTACTGTAAAAAGTAAGTTTATAGTCTATTAGCACTTGTAATCAAGTTTTGAAATAATATATTTGTGCTAGTCTAGTTTTGAGGACCTACCCCCTCTTCCATAACAGCATTCAGAGATAAAGGTTTTAGACATACCATACCTCCAAAATGTAAATGTCTGTGTACTGTCATAGGAATTATTCCCAGGGAGTGCCGTAATATGGTCCATGTTGGATGCATTTCTACAGAGTTTGGGGGCTACATTCCGTCTATTTCCAATAATATCAATGCAAAATGTAGTTAGCCCTGCAAAAAGGACATCAGTCAGCTGAAAAAAATTACAAAATAAATACTGTAATTCTTGAATATTCCTGATCAGGAATTTCAACAGCCTCTGTTCTCATTTAGCTTTTGAACTAAAGGAGGACTTTTCACAGATTCAATGAGATCCAATAAACACAAGAGCTGGACTATTTTTGCTGCTATATGTTCTGTCACTGACATTTCATACGAATAGATGAGTTGAAAAGAAAACAGAATTTAAGTCTAACTAACTGCAAATATTTGTTTCACAACTGTTACATTGTAAACATGCTATTATGGTGCCACGTCTTCTGTGCTGTTCATTTGTCAACAAGAAATAAAAGAAAGGGGATGAAATTACAATGTTCATGGTTGTTTTTGTTCGTTTTGTATCATACATAGACTTAAATCAATTTTAAATACTTGGACATTAATATCTTTCATTACATAGACATGATCTTAAACACTAGTCGATTATTTCCATTTACTAATACATTTTGTTAATTGCAACCCAGTTCTATCAGATAGAAACAAGGAATTGCAAGTAAAATCTTTGTGCTCATTTATCTGATTGCTGCTTTCAGTAGCCTCTTACAGTGCAATGCTGCTAAACATTTTCATTTAATAAAACTGCTTTTTACTGTTTGCATTTTCTGGTTGCACATTCTATATATCCATGACTTCTCTTTAGGACTTTTCCTAAATATATTTCTGAAACTGTTGTTTTAAATCAAATCAAAGGGCCAATTCACATTCAGGTTTTCATAATTTTTATAAACTGTTCACCAAAACTTTGAACAGGGGCTTGATATTGTCTGAGAAAGAAAATACTGCTCTGAGCAAGGAATAAAAATCTACAAATGTCAAAAATGTGTCTGTGCTTATCTAACCAGCTCTTATTATCTTCATTTATTCTGTGGATTTTAGTATTCAAATATCCATTTTGGTTTTAAGTAATAGGTTGTATTTGTTCTGACTGGAAATTTTTCTAGCATTCCTAAAGGCTAAGGTAATCTAAAAACGGCATTTCTGCATTAAAAAAACCCACTTTGTTTAGAGTTTTGTTTAACAGAACAAGGAAATTAGTTTATAGATCTTGCAAGACATAAGTGAAAGACCACAAGTGCATTTAAATAACTTTCTAGCTGAAGATGTTGGGTATGTTACCATTAAAAATATGTGATAGCAATTACCAGACAGCGTAAATGGTACACGGTGATTCAGCCAAAAGGTCTGGTATCTGAGATACAAGCTTCAACAATTTGAAATAAATCTCATTCGGTAGTATCAGAACTTAGAGCCTATAAGTCGTACCACAAAGCGGGATGGCAACATAAATACAGAAATCATCTATAGTATTGTAGACGTATTCCTAGTACATCAATCACACTCAAAGCCAAAGTTAAATCAGAGAACTGGCAAAGATTTCTGTGAAAATTGAAGTATTAATGACCTGTGGTATCTTAACATTGCAAATTCCAGTCTCTAAAGAGACAAATTCAGATTGTACAAACAAGAGCTTCATATTCCGTATGGATGGAAGTTCAAGTGCTCTTGCAGCACTGTCTCCAAAGAGTGCTGCAAGGCACCAGGATAAGATGATGGACTACAGCAGCAAGTGTTCTTCACCCACTAGTGCAAAAGGGAAAAAATAAAACCCTCAGCAGATGGCAACACTATTTTTTCCAAAGTCTGTATTTCTGTGGATTATGGAAAGACCTGAGCTGGCAGGGACTCAAAAGAGACTGTACTAAATATGCACAATACCACTAAGTGAATTTTCACACAGCCAACAATCTTTATCGTTCCTGGCCAATCACTACAGAAGAACATTGTAAGTTGTCTGAAAGGTCATTGGAGATTTTTATTCCCATATTTTATCTCTGTAAATTCCACAACTGGAAATTATCTGGGCAAACAATAAACAAAATGGTATCCCAGAAATAAAAAATCTTAGGCAGAATTCTTTCCAATTGACTCATTTCTGGGTTTTACTTATTAATGATGGTTTCAGATTATTATACAGCACACAGGTATTCTTCAAAGTATGGAATAAGTTCAGAAGAATGTCCTCAATCTGATGTACATCCAAGACTACTTCAGTTAAAAGTCTTAAAAATTATGTGTTTTCTAGGCAAGACGTTTACAATAAAATCTTCATACTTTTGCAAGTCCCTCCATCAGTATGTGACAAAAATGCAGAAGCCAGAGATTAGCACTAAAGCAAAGCAATTAAGCTATCTATACATGAAATGTTTCTAAAAGAAGAATGTAAACAGTGCAAAATCTAGAGAACAATACAACAGGTTACAATAACATCCATCCCTCCCATTTCTTCTTAAAGTTGCACAGTGTTTTCAAACATGGAATGCCTTCTGTTTGCACTGAGGCAGGAAAACAGTAGTCTCTGAATGTGTATGGCTTAAGTAGCACATAGAAAATTCATGGGAAAATATAGTATGCTTGCACCAGTCAAAAAATAACAAAGTCGCAAAAGTAAAAAATGCAGAGATTAACAATGCTGATGTTGTCAGTTTTACTCATTACTAGCTTTGGTGTGCATTGTAGCTTTGTGTATTTTGTCTGCCTATCATGTACAGGAATTCAAGCCTATTGGTACAGCTCACAACAGAAGGGCCCAGCCTTTTGTTGCAGCAGCAAATATTGATGACAAAAGACAGGTAGTGAGCTCCTCCTATAATTCTCCAATTGGGCTGTATTCATCTGGCAATATTCAAGATGCGCTCCACGGACAACTGAGAGGTCTCATTCCTAATTCATCGCAAAAGTGAGTACTGGTATTTACTTATAACTCATGGTCGTTTGTGGTATATCACCATCTGTTCTGTTTTCAATTAAAAAGTCCAGCTCTTGCTGTTTGTTATTTTTTTATGGTAATCAAGAGTTTATTGATTATCAAAAAAAAAAATTGGTGATAAAGGAAGAAATTTTTTCAAACACTGAAAACTACCCATTTATCCCTGTAGTAGTGACACTGCCAATAGCTAAAATTTGCCCTCTATGTTGGGCTGCAACACTACCAACCATCCTTCTCTCTTGTAACTGCACTTTACTCTGAATGTTTCTGAACATTAAAGCCTTTCTATTTTGAGCACCAGGAATGTACAAACTAAACAGGATTACTTCATGGTTACAATTTTAAAACTTTGTTAGCTACTTTTTAACTAGAAATAAGCATTTGGAGGCCAAAATAAGTTATTTTAACCCTCTTTTCTTTACAGGATATGAACTACTTTGAACACAAGCATAATATTCGGCCCAAACCTTTCATAGTCTCAGGCCGAAGCAGGTTATAAACTCTGAGTGCTGTGCTGGATTTGGATGCATGGTGTTATTTTTTAATGGATACTCACCATTCACATTAATAAAGCATACTGATGCATTTGAAATGTACTTATAGTAGTATATAGCCTAACACTGAAATTAAAAAAAAAAAACAAACCAAACCTGAAATGGTTGACTTGCAGAGATCAGGCTTGAAATTCAAATTTCTATTTCCAAAAGAAAGCAGGTCCATGCTCCCATCTCAGTTTACTGAGAGGAGTCTGAAGCAACTGTATTCATGAACCAGATTCAGTCTGCAGTGTAGCACCAGACATTTTATACTTCTAAATTTACGGCACTCTGAAATTCTTCTTTCCAAATGCAAATACATGTGATTTGTTAAATTGCTAAATAAAGGATAGCTAGTTATGTAAGTTATCATCTAGGCCATTCAGAGATTTTAAGTTTGCTTTTCAGCAGACCTCTATTCAGAAGGCAACCTAATGCAGAGCTAAAACAGGAGAACTATCTGATGCCACAGACATGTAAAGTTCTAAAATGCAGAAAAGCTTACATATTTACATCCATCATTTTAGTGAAATATTCCTCTATCGTAACTGAGGATGAAATGCCTTGCTTACTATTATTTACATTAATAAACACAGAGGGGAAAATACAATGCAAACTCTGTGGCCAAAAATGCAAGGAAGCTCAAAAGCACCTGAGTGATGCAATATATTGTGATGCTGCCCTTTATCCTTTCTAGCAGCAGCGGTTTTAACCTGTGGACTTAGTCTTCTGCATTTCATTCTAAAAGTTTAAAATGCTTGCATTTCAGTTATATTAATTCAAGTCTGACAAACTAGACCAGAAAAACGGGATGATAATTGATTCCTGTGTACAAAGGACAATCTCATCTGGATTATCAGTTTTCTGAGATGTGTTAAATTTTTCAACCACCTGTGGGATAAAGAGGAGACTGTAGAACACAGGTAGAGTCCCATCCTTCTGGGAACAAGAACTATCAAAGCAGAACACCGCCACAGTGGAGTCAAGGTGCCCGTCTCTCCCTGCAGTCTGATGCTGATGCAGAATAAATGACAAAAGAACCCTTAGCCAACACGCATGGCCTTTAACCACGGGCAGCACTTACACATTGCACGTACACTGACTCTTGGAGCACCGGGTACCATTTGTGGGTACCTAATCAGACTTATGGAGATTCAAATGAGTGTAACAAGAGCCTAATCTCCTAATTCGCAGACCTCAATTACACAATATATTCCTTGAAAATATTGAATAGCCATTTTCCAGCATGTCAGATGGGGGAAAAAAGCTGCAAAGATTAACCTGACAGTGATGCAACAAGTTCCAGAACTTTAGTTGGGCAAGGTCAGACAGGTGTTCTAGCACTAGAGAAGTCCGTGTTTCCAAGCTGCAGAAACTCTGACACAGGGTGGTACGTCTACAAAACCTTGGTTGTCACACTGCCTGTCTGCTACTTTTTCATCGTTTGGGCCAATATATATCCACTACTAAACACAGCAAAAGCCAAACCGCCACCTTGACTGTAAATATTCCTTTAGGAGGGACAGCTGAGGCTAAATAGGACTTTGACTGAAAGAAGAGCTGATTCTGGACTGTGGATCTGAGCTAACAGATTAGACACTAGCCACAATTTTGGACCTTACTCTGGCAAAAACTAAATGGAAATTATATTTAATATATCATTATATTTCATTTATACTTTACTTATAATTTATTCTGGTTTAACATTACTTTGGCTGCCCATAGAAAGAGTTGTGCTTTTCCTAGTCTTTTCCTGCTACTTTCCATTTACTAACACTATCAGCACTGACAAAACTGATTCTACTGCAGGACCTAAAGGTGATCTTGATTCTTCTAAAAGAAAAGACTGTAAATATGTAAGTTGCCCCCGTGTGAAGTTTTTGGCTGGCTGACGCTAGATGATGATGCAGAACTGTACTTTTGCTTTAAGGCTTGCCTACCATTTCTGGAATTAGCTTTCTTTTGATATGTCTTTGATAGTAGAGTATATATTTTCCTTTACGTTTTTGAAAAAGTGGTCCTACACAAATTCCCCTCTAAATCAAAAGGAGAATTTTGGGTGGTCTCCACCCAAGACTAGCTACTGGGCAGAGTACTGTACTATCAAACTGGGAACAGGTTTACATGGAAGCATTAGGCTTGGAATGAACTAACCGCAACCCTGATTTGCAGGTTGGAGGAAAGAGGTCAAAAATTTATCATCTCATAGCTCTGAATATCACATAAACGGTAACCAATGACTGTGGAAAGCCTGGATTATGTGCTGTTACACAGCAACAGCAAAGAAATATCCCATAACAAAGAAATCCTCTGAGGTGCCATGGAGAAAAGACTGAAATGTTCAAAATAGTGACACTGAAAAAGTCTTAATGTTCACATTATTTTACTAATTTTTTTTTCAGAGGTGCCAAACTGCTGCACAGTAACTTTACTTCAGTAACACCAAGCAACATAATTATTTCTAAAAACCTGTACATCTTTTTTATTATATATAGATTATATGTAAAATCTACTTCAAAAGCAGTAAAAGTAAGCCTCTGAGTACATGTCCCTTGTTCTTGTGAAGGACCACTATACATTCTACTGTATACACTGTAATTTAGAAATGCAAAAGTATGCCTGGCTGTTTTAGTATCTTTTCTTCTTTGAAATGTTCAACAAATATTAAAAAATGAAATATATCATTAAACTAATTTTAAAATATTAATAAATATCCTACTGGAGAATTTAAGGACATCTAGGAAATGTCACGTTCATTATTTTACACTACTTTATAGTAGTCTTATCAACTGTGGGCTGAGATGTTTGTGAGGTACAGGACCGGAATATTGTGTCTAGGATTCCTGTCCTGCAGGTGTTTATTCCGTCACTGACACGGACAACTCACATAAGCTTTGTATGCGACCCTTTTGTAGACATTAAGAACTCATCACCTAGAACAAAGAATTTTAGAGAAGCTTAATCAATCTTCAACAAAATCTAGCATTAAAAATGTAAAGTAATACTATGTTCTGAATTATTCAATCCATCAAAAAATTTTTACTATCTTTAAAGAAAATGCATGCCAGAATTTTAAGGACCACTTTATAACTTGCATTGGTAATTTTTACAGGAAAAAACTTTTCAATGAATACACATACTTTTGCTTTTCTCTACTTTCTTTACTTTTGCTTTTCTGTATCTGTTCTATTTACGCTTTTCAGCTCTGTTAACATCACTGTACTCCTGTCCTTTTGTCTTTATTCTCTATAATCTGATATGCACCGCACACTCTTCCGTAATCTGGCTATTAACACAGTGGATGCAGCACTCCTTCAGGGATTGACTGCAGCAGTGGACGCAGTACCCCCTCTTCAATCAGCACGGTTAGCTCTATCTGCCCTACCGAGCTGAAAGCAGTGTCTAAGATGGCCCCTAACATTCCCTTGGAAATGGAGCTTCCCGGTGTCAAGATTGTACACGCTCAGTTTAACACACCTATGCAGTTGTACTCAGATGACAATATCATGGAAACACTGCAAGGCCAAGTTTCTACAGCTCTGGGGGAAACACCCATAATGAGGTAACTAGAGCAGTATCTTTAATATTTATGAATATACAAATTCCGAATATACAAAAATTCATGAGCTTTAATGACATCACACTGTTTCTATGATAATGGGTAAAAGGGTTAGAAAGAAGCAATTTAAAGCCACTCAGTATTTTCATTAAAATATTAGTAATTTATGATTTTTAACCCAAAGCATTAAAGGAGTCTTTCAGAATTTACAAATAAATATTTCATAGAAAATAATCTTATATTCGTGGCTAATAAATAAAAACTGATGATACTACCTGGACTATTAGCTGACTGATCACTCCAAATCAAGATTCTGAGTACCTCCAAAATTCAAAACTGTTTATTATTGTTATCATAATTCTTTATTTAATAACCATTTGATAACTTACTAATAATTAATAAAACAATATTATTAACCAAATTTATTTCAACTGTTGAACTTCAAATTACGAAGCTTAGGAAATCTTGTAGATGTTTATAGTGTTCTAGATATTTAACTCCCATTCAGGACAACTCATTCAGTACAACTAGCTCTTATCCAAAAAGAGCCAGAATTGACTTTGTAGGCCTACTAATCCACCTCTGACTTATGAATTTCATCCATTGCAATGACTAAAAGTCAGGTAGGAACCTTATGTATCTCGACAACAATGACGATGGAACAATTAAAAGTTTTAAAGCACTATTCATTTTTTTCGAGCGACAATTCATCGTTCACGTTGCTTTATCTTTACATTTGCATAATAGTAACTTATTGTTCTGTTTTACAACAGTACTTAAGTTAATAATTCATAATATGTATGGTGTAAACTAAAGGTAATTACTAATATTTTAAATAATCAATAATCATGGGCACCAATAAGCCTTCTTCAGCACCTTGCAGAATTGGGCTGTTACTAACCATAAAAATCACATTTATATGGAAGTATTTAAGTTCATCCTACCTAATGAAAAGAAAACTATAGTTCATGAAGTCTTTGCAGAGTGAAATTACTCTATTGCATGAATATTTATCCTCAATCACAACAATTAGAGACAATGAAAGAAAAATCTGCTTTTTCTTTATTCTCAAATCATGGATTAAGCCCCAAGTAATCAGATTTCACAAATGCCTGTGGCAGTTTGAGAAATGACTCTCTACACAGGTTTGAAATGTCTCTTTTGTTGTGGGATTGGTTTTCACTATGTATGCATTTAGAAATGTTGTCTCACAACTTTGTGCCTCGTTTTTTGCATTCTGTATGTTATTGTATTAGCACTTGTTTGATGTTTAGACGTATTTCAGTAAAGAGGAGAGAATCAAGGATTGGTGAGAAGTATAAAAACTAAGCTCCTTCTATTCATTAAAATCTTGTGACGAGAAAGCCATAGTTTGTTCACCAGCTTAAGGACGGCCCAGAGAAATCTGTCAATTTATGAAGACGCAAACAGTTAACATAAGCAACAGGGGTCACTGTCCAACTGCCACTGCTCTTATTGTGCCATTTGGCAGCTTAGATGCTACCTTGGGAAACAAACCAAACCATATAAAGCAAAACCCAGTCCAAATTCTCATGGAATTGGTTGCTTATTTCCAGTGGAAACTTACCTAAAGTTTAACAGACACCAGGAGGCCAGTTGTAACAGGAAATTTAAACCCGACATTTATGTATATATCAGTGAGATAACGGACTTCCTTGAAGTAAATTTGGACCTTTCTAATTAGTCCCAGTAGCAGTTTGAAATTTATAGATGCCACACATTCAGCCTAATTCCTGACAGTGCACATAGTCATCTGCTCTTTCTCAGAACTACATAGGATGTTAGTTATCATGATCAATTCAAAACATTCAGCACAGTTTAAAATACCATGAAATAATCTTGGTAAAATCTTCAGCTTATATGTCACTGGAAATTCAACCATCAACTGTTGTTTTGGACAATAATTTACTTTATATTTTTATCATAAAATTTGCATTACAAAAAATAAGCCATGTTCCATCCTAATTAAATTAAGAAACAGAATTTCCATTCATCAGTGTTCACCTTACAATGCTTCCTACTCTGCAGTACCTACTTCACTCTCTTTTGTCATCTCCATGAGTTAAATAAGTAACAATTTTCTTAGCCAAATAATCACTATATTCACCAGTGATTTAGCCAACTTAGAAAAGGAAGAACACCTTCACGTCATGATACTCTCCCAAAAGATTTGTTTGCTTAGGTTTTGGCTGACCTTATGTAAAGATATGAGCTTGATTTTTAACCAATATCCATGAAGCCAGCTGCTGTGAAAATGGAACATGTGGACACCGTACCAAAGAGCTCCTGGTAATACAGCAGCTGATTACAGGAATGCAAGTGCGTTGAGGTTAAACACAAGTATCGGCCTATTTCCAAATGCCATTAGAGCCAGAACAGTAATTATGGAAACACTTTCATGAGTTTGTAGATTTATTTTTGTAACAATTGCACAGGACTTTTTTTTCAGCAGTTTTTAGATCAAGAGGAGGCTATACAAAGCAATGCTAAGTGGAAGAAAGAGTCTTTCAGTAGTTGTAGACACATATGGTCTTTATGTTTGTTTCCTGAATCATATTGTGTGCCTGGTAGAGCTACTGCTTTAAAGTTACGTTTGTTAAATCGCTTTATCTGCTCTTTCTCCCTGTGATACAGTGACCCCTCTCCCAACTCAGTGCCTCAGTCTGACGTGTACAGGATGCTGCATGGCAACCAGGAGGAGCCCAGTCAACCGCGCCAGTCTGGCTCCTTTAAGGTGCTCCAGAATTTAGTCTCCGAGGAAGGTGGTTAATAATGACATATTTTATCTGTTCAAAGCATATTTAAATGTTTGTGGGAAGGGGGAATCTGAAAAGAAAATATGAGAGCTCAGAGCTATAAGAATTTCTGAAAGCCCAAATCTTAGCACACCAGCCTCCTCACGTTTTTTCCCCTTGCCTTTATAGCTAAAGATCTCCTGTGTGAATAAAATGGGGGTGTTAATCACATTTTTCAGAATATCTTCTCCCATATTAAGATCTTAATGTACCAAGTTGACTTAAACAAGTTTTAACACGAGAGAACTTTTGGGACAAGCTGCATATACTCATGACACCAAGAAAGAAAACGCTCTCTTCCACATTCAGGAAAAGAGAAATTTAAACCAACTCCTAAAATAAGTTTTATCCATCTTCTCTTTATTTAAATAAAAATAATAAATAAAAAATA